CATTTGTTAACTGGTACAATAATGTACTAAACCAACGTTGGCTTGCTTCACTTTTATATATATCCTACTTTCCCAACCTGAAGGATTAGTTACCTGTGGACAGGTACGATAAACCTCCATTTTCGGAAATTAGGCACAATATCTACATCAAAATACGGTGTACCGGATTAACTTGAAAGGTTTGATAGCAAATAAATATTATTACCTACTAAGAAAACAAATTTAACAGTGGTGAATTATTGAGATTGTTTACCCACTTTAGCATGAAGTTGATGATAACCATAGCAACGAGATAACGTCCTCACCAATTTGATATTGAAATAAACTACTCGTCAATTGAAAGATAAAATGGAAGATTTTCTATCGATTCTGATTCATCATTACTTTCGACTGCCTCAACAAACCTTCAATTTCTCATCAGTTGTTCATTCAATTGACTATCGAACCTATGGGAATGACTATTGCATCTCTTTAGAATGAGATTCTACAGGATGATATTCAAAGCTATGCAAAAATTGAAAGTTGAAATGTTGAAACTTCACATCTATCTATCATCCTTTAGAATCTCATTCTGAAGAGATGCAATAGTCATTCCCATAGGTTCGATAGGCAATTAAATGAACAACTGATAAGAAATTGGAATTTTGTTGAGGCAGACGAAAGTTATGATGAATCAAAACCGATAAAAAAATTTCGATTTCACACCTTTCAATTGTTGAGTAGTTTATTTCAATATCAATTTGGTGACGATGTTATCCCGTTGCTATGGTTATTATCAACTGCATGCTGAAGCAGGTAATCAATCTAGTTTTTCTACGGCTATAACACAAAATTGCGCTTGTTCTACTGTTTTTGATAAATCAATGAAGTACTTTTTATATCATTAATTTTATTTCCATATCTGATATCACGATGTTTTGTTTTTCCCTGTATAATGATCAAGTCATCAGCTCTTGACGGAAACTGATATTGAGGCTAACATTCGGCTACATGAATTGGACAAAAATTTAAAAAGTTACAGGGTGAAAAATTTGGGCAAAGTTTCTGGGGGCCTTTTTTATGCCTGTGAGTGTATTTCTACCAACCTTAGCTAAATGAATTTGTCAAAAACTTAGAGATTGAGTCACTATGGCCTTATTTTTCATTATTTCATTCAACTAAAGTCGTTCAATTATACAGGGTGTTATTCAAGTACGTGGCCAAACTTGAAGGAGTAATTCTCTGAGTGATTCTAAGACGAAAAGTTCATATAAACATAGGTCCGGTAATGCTTCGTTTTCAAGATACAGGGTGTCAAAATTTTTAAAAGAAATCGTTTTTTTTTTGTAAATATCCTAATAACCCTTCAACCGATTTCATTGGAATTTGGCAGTGTTATTCAAGGTCGTGAAGGGCTAATTCAACCCTAACTATATCAGAATTATCATGTCCAGTGGCGTCCCGGAAGGCACTGTAACCAATATTTTTGATAGAAAAAATGTGCGCCACTGATTTTTTTGCAATTTTTGTATTTGTTTCACATTGAGCAACTAAAATTACAACTTTTTTATATCTAGAATTTTTTTCGTATCTTGCTTTGTTTTTGAGAAAAACCATAAAAATCACTTCATTGCACATCCCTGTGACGAGCCGAAGCCAAGAGCCGAAGGCAAGTGCTGCAATTCATGCATACATATTTTTTGTTTTTTCATTGCATTAATTTTGATAGAAAATTCCAAGACTAGAATAGAGTATTAATATGAAAAAATATTAGTAAGACCCCAGTTTTTGATGGTTTAGTAGTTGAAATGTTTTATTGTGTTGTCACAGGGATGTGCAATGAAGTGATTTTTATGTTTTTTCTCAAAAACAAAGCAAGATACGAAAAAAATTCTAGATATAAAAAAGTTGTAATTTTAGTTGCTCAATGTGAAACAAATACAAAAATTGCAAAAAAATCAGTGGCGCACATTTTTTCTGTCAAAAATATTGGTTACAGTGCCTTCCGGGACGCCACTGGACATGATAATTTTGATATAGTTAGGGTTGAATTAGCCCTTCACGACCTTGAATAACACTGCCAAATTCCAATGAAATCGGTTGAAGGGTTATTAGGATATTTACGAAAAAAACGATTTCTTTTAAAAATTTTGACACCCTGTATCTTGAAAACGAAGCATTACCGGATCTATGTTTATATGAACTTTTCGTCTTAGAATCACTCAAAGAATCACCCCTTCAAGTTTGGCCACGTACTTAAATAACACCCTGTATATTCTTTAACCGAATAATATTACGTGACCAAATTTCATTGAAACTAAAAGTGGTACTTCACGTTTTTTGTAATAAATTATATTTGATAATATTTCAGTGTGGAATTTTCCTACCAAATACCACTCTAGCATCAATTGAAGAGCGAAATTTTTGTCTCTCACGCGAATATTGGGATAATTTGTGTTCTCTAACAAATTTCCTGTAATAATTTTCTTTTTTATTTTTGTTCAAAACTGCCTTGGACGTTTTCTCTATGCATGTTTTTTCTGTGGTTGTAGTAGATTGAAAAGGTTCGTTCATTGAAAATTCTTCGTTCCATAATGAAGAGCTTCTTGAGAAGCAAAAAATGGACCATGAGATACGGAAATACAGGGTGCTGGAGTAGTAGAAATTGAAATACCAACATTACCAACCCTGCATTTTCGAGCTTAGTGAATATTTATCATATGTGTTCATGTGCCAAAAATTACTGAATAATAGAAGTCCAATAATTATATCTAGTTTTATTTTAGGACTTCATGGGGAACATCTGGAAGTAACTATTCTAGGGGTTTGAAAAAAGAAGCAAGACTGATGATAAATTGTGATTGAATTAGGTTCAAAAAACTTGGGTAAGAGTACTATTCTTTCCTCCATCTTTAAAATGGTGAATTTATTATTGATACCTAGTTGGTGTCCTACATCAACAATGGAATAACACTCTAGAAAGAACAATAAAAAATTTATATTTTTACCAAAACTATCTCGAAATTTCATCGTCAATATGTCATTTTGACCTTTCAGTAATTTTGATTGAATTTGAAATTCCACTCTTTCTTCGAAATTTTCATAGAAACAACTATATTTTATACAATAATTATAATGTCAAATCATCTTCAATTCATTCAATTTTATTCAATCAAATTTTCCAGTGAGAAACAGATTTTATTATTTTGTTTCAACTATATAGGTACTTTTTGTTTTTTCTTGGAATATTATTCCTTGGTACATTATTAGGGGTACATTAGGGGTCTTATTTCTGTTGTTTTGTTACAAAACATTTTTAGTTTTATGTATATGTGTTTCTTTTTTTTATATGTGCATGTTTAACGTTTTTCAGTTTTTCAATATTCATTTTATGTTTGTTTTTCTTATATTATTTTATCTTTATCAGATTATGATCTAAGATTGTTACTTATTGTTTCTTTTAGTAAAAGTTTTAAAGTTTTCAAATAGGAACAATGACAACAAACACTGAATTTCAACCCAGATTCACTGTTATTTACCTTATTCAGAGTGGTTATCATTGTTTCTATGTTGTTATAAAAATGTTTATTTTATGTTTTTGTTTCTTTTTATTTTGTAACAATGTTTTAATTATTAAGTTTTTTGTTTGGTAACATTAATTCATTGGGTGGTGGGCGCAAACTTTATTTTGATGAGGTGTATCAATTTATTTTGTTTGCGATAAATATATGTTTATATAATTACTTTGAATAATTGTTATTTCATACCTACTACAATAAACAACCTCAATTATTTGAATAATAAATAATAATCGATATATATATAAACTGAAACAAGCAACAAAAAAATGGACACTGTTCATGGCTCAAGTATTAATATTTACAACTTTTATTATGATTTTTTTCCATTATTAGTTTGATATTGATCCTGATGCACTGTTGATGACTGAGTTGACAATGATAAAAACGTGATGGGTGCTTTTGAATTAGCAGTAATAAGTTGTATTTCTAGTGGCTGATTCATGAATTTATGGGTTGGAATGAGGGAATAATCTATAATATCCCGACCATTGAAGACCAAATTCAGTTGGGTAGGTAGGTATAAGTAACACAGCTTGAGATTTTTACTCTGGTGGAAGTTATCTTATTTTCTCAATTTCAATTTCGTTCTCAAAAGTTGTCACAACCCCTCAGGAACTATTCTGCGGACGCCTATTCAATTTTAAAATTTGTTGAAGAAATATATTATTGGACGTCTTTTTCATTCCATTCAAGAAAGTTCGCACTGATAGATGCACTTTTGTCATGACGTCACCAATTGTTCTGATGGAATTTATGCTGGAAGATGGAACTCTGATACGATGTGGAACAATGGAATTGATGGTAAAAAGCATTGTGTGTCAGTCTGTCATGTATCTTCAGAATCAGAAGAGGCTGATAGGTACCATTTTATATGGATTTTATTAATCAACAATAACTCCATCTTCTAAAATGTCTCAAGAATTTTAAAAATCCTCAATATTTTATTTTTTCTATCAAATCAAAACAAAGAATAACCCGTAAAAGGTGCCAATTGACAGGTCAGTTTCCTCCAAACCGCTCTGGAATCTCACAAAAGCAATTCGAAAGTGGGAAAGTGCGCATTTTAATACAACAGTTTGATGGATTTCCATCAACATTCTAGCGTAATTATTTTGCAATAGTTCGATGGTTTCTTCGATTCATGCGCATGACAAAATGTTTGAATGAAAAACGCACCCATTCCCTTAACGGTACCGGCAGACGGCACAATAGCCACTGCCAAACCAATCATTTCCAGTCCACCAATGAGAATCATCCTCGAACGAAAACAAAAATGCCGCGAACAGATGCAAGTACTGAGTGGAAGGGGAAAAGATTGGCGCCTTCGCGTCTCGTTTCTGGGTCTGGTCTTCCAGTTCCATCTTGGCACTGTTTTTTATCAAGTTTTGAAGTGCTTTTGTTTCAAATTTGTGTAGTGTATATATTTTAATTAATTCAATTATGGCGTACCGCTGTGCAGACCCCCTGTTCGACCTGACTCTACACAAAATGGAGTGCAACAAAGGCGATTTTTCGTCTTTGTACGAAATAACGCACGTAAACGGCCAAATCATAGCCACCTTCAAGCACGTAAACCGCCCGAAACGGGGCACGGAAATCTACTTGCGGAAAATACCTACTGACGCGCTGCTTCAGGAAATTCTCGATTTTGCAATACAAGCCGGCGATGTCTACCAGATCAGATTGTTGATGGAATTTAGCGGATACAATAGAGGATATTGTTTCGTCAGTTATTTCGACGTTCAGAGCTCCAGAAAGGCAACTTTGACTCTCAATGGCTCGAGAATTAGGGACTCCCAAGTCATTGTGAAATTATCATTCGATAATAATCGATTGGAACTGCAGAATGTTCCCAGGGGTGTGACCCCACAGCAAGTTTATCAGGATGTAGTGAAAATCGTCGGGAAAGGACTGAAAGATGTCGTATTTTGCAGGCAATCTGAGGAAAATACTAAGGGCATCAAGTGTCTGTTGAGATATGACACGCACAGGAATGCTTTAGAGGCCAGGAAACACATTTTCCCGACTTTCCGGCTGTATGAGAAAAGTATAAAAGTGGATTGGGCAATACCCACTGATATCATGAAGGTAAATAAAAAATAAAACTATAGAGTATTGAACAATTTTGAAATACACCTTTCCTACACTTTCCTTTTTCCATTCAGCATTCAGTAGGGTGCCGATTCTGGAATCGATTTTTCAGAGATCGATCTTTTTCACAAAAAAAAATCGATTTTTCTGGAACATGGGATTCCTCCAATGAATATTTTTTCCAGGAAGATCGATCTGGAATATATCTGTTATATCTTTGTGACTGATGAGAAAATATAAATAATTGTGTTCCTTTTATGTTCCTTCCTCATTGGGAATTTATTTTTATATCATACCATTTTTTATAAAATTATATACTTTTTCCTTGCATTCATGATGATATTCTTCAAGTTATCTAATAATTATGCCTCTCATGATACCTTATCTAAAAAAAACATATATTTTTTTCAAATTTGGCATGGTTTGAGTTTTTGAGTTTTTAAATCCATATTTTCAGTCATTCAGTCAGCCATTTTGATTTTGATGTTTTGATGTTCAGTTTGGACTCCTTTGAGTCCTTTGGAGATTTTAGTGCAGATGTTCAGTCTTTTCTTCATTCTATATCCAAGATTTTCAAACTTTGTTTATATTTCTTTTTGCCTCTGATTTGGATTTGAGAATTATTCATCTTGATTGAGACCTATCTCAATAACAAACAACAAGGGATGTAGCTCCATAGTGCCATCAAGTAAAAACATTGAAATTTCACTGTTTAAATGAGGTGTGAACAGTGCTTAAGAGAAAGAAAGTAAGAATGAGGCAAAGAAGGCAATGAAGACTTGACCCATTCTGCATTTAAAAAGGTTTTGTGTTTTTTGTGAGAAATCAAAAAATCAAGATGGCTGTGTAATTACTACTTTTTTTTCACTTTGTGTTTCAGTCAAAACGCTTGTATTTTGAAAATTGTCCTCTTGGCACCACAAAATTGGAGCTGTATGAAGAACTGATCAGATATGTGAATCCTGTGCACATGCTAAATTTGTTTTTGCAAGACTGTAATGGCCAAGGGGTGGGCTATGTGCTATTTATCAATGAAGGAGTTTCCTTTGAAGCATTCAACAACCTGAGAGTCAACAAAATATGTGGAAGATTCTTGAAATTATCCTATATGAAGTTTTACAGCCAGTAAGTAAACAATAATATTTGAAATATTTTCTGAACAATCCCAGATTCATCAAACAATGGAATTTGTACTTTCTTTTTTTTTTCAGTTTGATCCTAGATGATTCTCTGAATGATGCCTCTGTGTATGATGTAAGTTGGACTAGCCGGTATTCTTATTCTTTTCTATTTATCTATTTATATTCATCTTGTAAAGTTTCAATTTCTCTTTCAGTCCACAGAACAAGATTTTTCTACAAATGAAAGGAGTTCCAATAGCTCCAAACATAGTGAAACTAATGTGAGTATCCATAAAATATGATGAGAATATTACTTTTCATTCATATTGAAGCTTTATAGTCAATCATTATTCATTACTTCAATTTTCAGAAGGATTGCTCTGATGAAGCTTCAGCTTGTGGATATCCTATGGTAAGTCCAAGATATTTTTGGTGATTTTGTGTTTTTTGACAGAATTAAACATTTTGTGTGTAGGATTTGTTTGAATATTCAATTGCCAAACAATTCCTTGATTGAAAAATACAATTTGGACAGTTGCTTGAGAGTAATTTTGCATTTATTTAATAGATATATTGATATTTTTGTCCGGGAAAAAGAAATTTGATAATGAAACAACCATTTTTCATAAAGACTTGTGGTTTTTCATAAATTCACAACTTATTTATTTCATGATTTCTCTATAGTTCCTTGCTCTTAATGATCTAAGGTGTCGGCAATTCCTCAATAAAACAAAGAAGAATATAAGTACGACAAAATGGCCGTTACCTACAAAAAAACTAGTGATGGTCATCTAATATCAAATATGTTTGAGAATTTGTTGGAAATGGTAGATTTGTGAGAATTTTCATTGAATAAATATGTATATTACAAGTATACAAAGTGTGCAGTGGTAGATAAAAAAAAGAAGTATGATTTTGTTCACCTCTGAGAAGGCGGCTGAAATAAAAATTAGAATTCCGTGCTCATTCAATGAAATTGAACAGTTGTTGTTTCACATTTCCATCATAGAATTCGTGTTTAGTGAACTAAATACATGAGTAGAAAGGTAAATATTCATATCTTTATAATATATGTTCACTAGATATACAAGAATTACTCTTCCTATTGAAATCAACCAATAACCACCAGTCTAAATAACTCCCTAAAAGTCCTAAAATATAATTTTAATTCTTGGGTTCCTATGCCAATTCTTTTCAAGTTCTTTTGAATTACAATAAATCACAGATCCTAGGCTTAACACCATTTTAATCACAAGACTAGAATAAAACAATTTGTCTTGTTTTAGTCTTATCAAAATGCCGTGTTAAATCCCTACATGCAACAACCCTACATGGTAGTATCTGCAGCACAGCCTATGCCTGTAGGACCACCACAGGCAGTACCTATGAGTGTCCCTTTGACTTCAGCACCTTCATATGCACTGCCAGCAACTGTTACTAAGGTAATTGATGATTGACTATAGTATTTTTTCCACCTCTAACCTGAGAAATCACCATTCTTCCAGGATTACACTTTTCAAACCTAGGTAATAGTATTTTATTCAATGAGCGAGCAGAATACTATACTTTATCTACAACTATTCAAATATCAAAGCAACTCTGAGTGTTCAGAAAGATATCTTTAGAAATAATGACGGTTATTATTTTGCAAAATGAATTGTGAAAATATGATGAACAATGTTGGATCTAACTTTTATTAACAGGAAGCTTTTTATTACTATTCATTTGTTGCTATCAGCTACCTAATTTTTGTGTTATCTTAATTAACTAGTGTTGCAATTGTTTTTGTCCTTTTCATGGAAGAATCAAATAAAATATTCCTTCAATTGGAACTTTTTTAAAAGAAAAATCTATAGCCCACTATTAAAATTCAACGTTTTAGTGATTTCGGAGCATTTTTCAAAATTTTATACCTATTCATCATATTTCATTTTGATGGGGAAAAAATAAGGAATTTAATGAGCTTATAAAATACATGGTGTTCCATTTGAAAAATCTTAAGTTTGAGTCGTATCTCCGAAACCATACCCAGAAAAAAAAATTGAGTGCGCCACTGAATACTGCGCAAAATTCTGTATGGGATAAGATTCCAATTTGACATTTTCGCTGAGAAACTTCGTAGATATAGAGGGGGTCCAAAAAGTATAAATTTTCAAAATGGCCCTGTATCTCATAAACGCAAACAGTTATGCAAAATCTGATTAGGCCATCTTGAGTTTCACAGAAAAGTGGTACAGGACCGCGAAAACCGCAAGGTTCTATCTCGAAAGATATCTGAGATATCACGCAAAAGCATCGAAAACTGGACACACTGTACTCAAATATCGTTGAAATTATTTTTTCTGATTATAAATAAAGTTGGCCAAAACTGAACGAATTAATATGAATTTTGTGAATGTATTTTCAAAATGTTGAGGCTGATTTTATTTGTTTTTTTATTTCAGTCTGCTCCTGTTCCAGAATATTTTTATCCCTATTCGTGTGCTCCGCCAGTCGCTAATGTAAGTAATGTGATGCTTTTCAAAATTAATTTGTAGTTTTTCGTGCTTATTTATTTCACTAGAGTTGGTGAGTGGACTGAATTTTCAAATTTCAAAATTCTGAATCTGGAAAATATTTCTGAATGATCCTAAAATCACAAGTATCAATGGTCAAAAATTGTCTACTCATTGTTATTCCAATCAACTCTTCAATTACATTAACTTTTTCATCCAAAACATATTATATTATTTTGCATCAAAAATGGCACCACGCAGAAAACAATCAAGGAAGCACTAATTTTTCAATTGAAATGAATATTCAGAATTGAGTTTCATCCGGGCAAAAAACCATTGGCGTACCCTGTATATTGTTATGTATGCCATCCTTCCCTAGGATGAAATGAGCATTTGTCACTATATCAACTAACACTTGAAAACTCGACTATATCTCACAATTTGGCAACGTGGTCGGTGTTGCAACATTCTCAACTTACGTCGATATTACGAGGGATGAATGTTTTGTTCGAATCAGGTCATAATTATCAACAATTTACACTGCCTTTGCGCATAAAATTGCATCGGAATGTGGAACGAAGAATTTTTCAATAACAGTCCAGTCGCCTTTAGAAAACATTCTTACTAGTTAGTTACTGTTCTATGCTAAGCCTGAATGTCTATGAAGAGTACAGCGTGGAAAAAGTCTCAATTGGAAGTTTAGTTGAAGATTCGTTGAAAAAAAACACGTTAGGGTCTACTTCAACTAATGAATTATGTTTTCTCTATTTTTTAGAATTTTCTCTCTTTTCAGCAAATTATAAAATGAGTACTTACCCCAAAATGTCTCCGCTTTTAAAAATGTTCATATTCAAAAACCTAAAAGAAATTATTAATAGTTTAAAAAAGTAACGAAACACCCTTTTATATATAGTCAAACTGAAAAATAAAATAACAAAAGTGTGTTAATAAATACACAGTATTTAATATTACCGCCCCCGTATAACCAGTAGATTCTTTCATTTTATTTCTACCTCTTTTTAGTTTGGCCTCCTATAAAAGGGTGTTTCTTTAGTTTTTTGAACTATTATTTATTTTCTATTTTTCAGCTTGGCTACAAAAGCGTGTTTTTTAGTGATTTCATAATTTTTATAAGTAACCAAGTTTGACGAAAGAATCATAATCAACTACCCCGAAAACCCCCAGATACCAATTTTGAATAGAAAAAGATCATATAGTTATTGGAAAACTCGTCCGCCATATTGGATCCGCCATCTTGAATTTCCTAACATTCACGAACGGATCATATAATTACAAAACTCGTCCGCCATATTGGACCCGCCATCTTGAATATCCTATTAACAGATTTTGATATTTATTATCCAATTCTGGATTAAGAGAAATCCAAAAAATCAAATATACAAATTTGATCCGCCATCTTAAATTTTCCAATGTGGACGAAAGAATCATAATCTCCAACCCCCAAAAACCCCCAGATACAAAATTTTAGTACAATCGGATCATAGTTATTGAATCATGCATCATAATCTCCGAACCCGAAAATCCCCAGATACCAAGTTTTAATAGGATCGGATCATATGAACAAAAGTCTTCCACCATATTGAATCCGCCATATTGCATTTCCAAATTTTGACAAAAGAACCATAATCTCCAGAAACAAATTTTGAGTAGAATCTGATCATTTAATTATTACAAAACTCTTGCGCCATATTGGATCCGCCATCTTTAATTTTCTAATATTCACGAATTTTGATACATACCTAAATACGTACATCCTCACAGGTGAAGCTAATAAAACGCAATCAATAGTCAGTGGCACCAAAAATTGAAGAAAAAGAATATAGATGCATCTGAAATATATCAAATTTTCACTTGGCTTTAGACGTTTTGGGAACGAATCTACTCCAGAAAAAATCATTGCAAGAATAATTTTCCATCCAAATGGTTTAAACGGGAACAGATTCATTACGAAAAAGTTCCTAAACCAAGTAAAAATTCGATATGTCTATATTTCTCTTCTTTCAGGTTTTCAAATTATCGACATTTTCAAATGCAGTGACATTTTGGAGCTAATTAATATATTGAAAAATAATACTCATACTTTTATTCCTGGCTATTTTAAAATAAAGAACAAATTTCCGAAAATTATTTCGCACATTTGAGTTTTTTGTTTCTGTCAAAAAATATCTAACTGGATTCGAAACAAGGTTATTATAGTGGACGCACCAACTTTTGATCAGAATGTATGTAAGAATAGTAGATTACGCACTTTTCTAGCTTTCTTCCAGATTCTTCTTAGTAGTGTCTAAACAGTTCTTACCATTATAAATAATGAAGACTTGTGTTTAGTTTCCAGTGTTTCCTCCAACAACAAGAAGTGGTTACAATACTACTAACCCAATTCCCATGGTAAGTAATACCAGGTTATACGATAAGTAGATACCAAAGCCCATATTTTTTTCACATTTACATCTTTTTTTTTCATCAAGTTTCATCCACTCTTAAGCTGTCGGAAGTTTTTTTTAGGGAGTGGACGCACCAGGTACTCATACAAACGTTTTATTCCAAATGATTTATACTTTTTTAGCCGAGAATGCCATGTCAAAGTTATGTTGAAGATGCGATCAGAATCGGTGGTCTGCCTATGGTACAACCAGTACCACAAGACTGGTTGTTCCCCAGATACAGGCAGAATCAAGTAAGTCAATATTGATTCATTTGTTGCGAAATAGGCAATAGGCAAGAACACAATAGCACAGTTGCCATATGTTGAAATACGATTGGGAACTTCAGAAATAATAGCTATTCAATAATTCATAGAATGTTCCCTTATGATTCGTGGTTTATGGCTTATAATAACAAATTTGTGTGAATAATAATTATATCAATTCACACTAGAGGACATTTGAATCGGTGAACGTGACAACAGCGCACGAATTGTGGGCGTGGTCTTGTCAGTTCTCAGCATTCAGCGCAATGTTGCCAAGTCTCCAACATTTACATGATATTTTGTTATGGAGTATAAGAAATATTTGGACATGCTGGTTGCTCGAAGAAGTCGAGAATGAACTATCATGGCTTCCTCCCATTATGTTTCATCTCGTGTTTTGTTCAACGACAGGACTCTAATATATCTTTTTGATAACTTGATTATAATTGGTGACTTGACAACCTTGCTTCATGAGTGGGAATGGAAGGTTATCTGACCAATTACGAAACAGCATATAAACTGACGTCAGCATTTATTTGACGTATCGCAAAATGGCGGCCATGACGATTCGTTTGAAATGGGCTCTGAAATTCAACAATTTCGATCAACGCATTATCAGTTCACTCGCCCATCAGTGTGATAATTGAAATTGACACATTATATAGTATTACGGTATTAACATAACATGGATGCATCAATTTTTTGATAAAATACAGTGTCTGGGAACGGTATCATTTCAAAAAAGGCTCGAAAAAAAAAAGAATTTCATACAAGATGGTCTCTGATGATGTCCATATCAATGGTGATATTGGCAATGTTGCCAAATCAACAGTTTTTCAGATATTGAGGGTAACTCAATTTTTTCAAATGAAACACGCGATTCATTTCCATGATAATCAATTCATTTGTACAGAGATTTGTACGTGAAGATTGGCGAATTTTTTTGCGAGGCTCTATTATTTCTCGAAATTAATGTAGGAAAGTCTTGGCTACAGTATTTTTTCAGAGATCTGAAAAATAAGTTGAAACGAAGATTTATGGTTTCATCTTCGGTTTTTCAGAAGTTTTAATGAGAAACATAAACAAATAATATACCTATACCGCCATAAATTTTGATCAACAAATAGTCCAGTAAAAAACTTTCTAGTTTGATGTACTTTGATGTTTGGAAGTTTTCTACTATATTTTTTTAGAATCAACTGCAGTTGATAAATTTCAATCCGATTATCAACAATGTCCCCTATGATCTTCAAGTCTTGCAAATGACCGAAGAACAATTCAGAGACTTGCGAGGAGAAAATTATCAGTAATTGTGCAGAGATGAACAATTTTATTCCTGATTTATTTTTTTATATTTATACAGGGTGTTGCCAAAGTATATGTATTAAATTCAACTAGGGGTATGTCTTGCAAAAAAGTTCATATTAGGGAAATTGCTCAATTTCTGATATACAGGGTATTGGCAGCCAAATTTAGGTAGGTATTATTTTCAAATATCTTGTAAATCAGAAACGGGAATCATTCATTTTTGAAACTATAAAAAATGTGGTCAGGCGTCAGGCGTGATGTGAAATTCAAGTAGTTTTATCTGATCTTATTTTTTAAATGTTTGAGAAAAAAAAATGTACCTTCCATCAATTTGACTCTCAACACTCTGTGTGTCGTCTCTTGATCTTTTCATGTATTTAAATATACCCTGTGAGTATAAATATTATGTCAGACGTGTTTTTCGTTTGGAAACAATTTGTTTATCAATCATGCGAGTTTTAAATTCATATAGCTTTATTAGCAAGTATTTTGAAAGTTTTAATAACTATTAATTGGATTTTTAATACTATTAGTCAGTTATCAGTATTATTCATATTTATTAGATCGTTTTTTTTATGCAGGCATTTCTCATAAGCAGAACAGAGTTGTAGATTTTTATAGTGTTTTCATATTCATTGATGTATTGAGTGTTATAAAACTGTTCGTTATTTAAAATATTAGAAATGAAATCAATCATATTTTTAATAAAAGTTTTAATAAAATGTGAAGACTGAATAATTTTCTATGGTTTAATATTGCTTACTTGTTCTACTGTTAGTGGCATCTACTGGCAGCTACCAAATATACCATGTGGTGCAGAAATTTGCATCCTAAGCCTAACTACAGGGTGCTATACTATAACTAAGCAGTTTCAATTTGGATTCGCCATAGACTTATCCCCATTGTCCCCATTTTTATAATATACCTAATAAGTTTTTGAACCCTTTTCGGAATTTAATATTGGAGAATGATTTTGTGCTCGCGTGTTGATTCAGTATTACGTGATCATTAACCCGTTTTTGCCCGAATTCCGTAAATTAATTGGCACCCTTATGCCCGAATTTTTGAATTGATCAAAACTAGTTTTTTTGTCATGATTTCGTGTTCACTTGAGCTACTGAATTCAGCATTCCGTGGGTACATTGAAAAAACATTCAAAATTTTCGAAAAATATTGCGTTCCATTATTGGAACATGGGGACTGAAAGGTAAGGTCTAATTGACTATTGAAGTTTATATGAAGTTAAACATTTACTAAACACTTGAAGTTAATTTACATGGAAGCTTTTGAAACAATGTTCATGCAGATTCACCGAGCATTTTTCACACATTTTTGTGGTTTTCTTATGACACATGGCACAACGTCCTTGTCTATCAGAAGGAGTCATCCAATGATTGAATCCACCATACCGGATATTTCCATGAGTTCTTGCAATTATTGGCTTAGAAGATTTCGGTCGTCCTCCTCCAATAACAGGGTTCGCGTATTTTTTTGAATAAACATTAGTGATTTCTCTTCTGAATTTCAGGAAATCAATTTTCCCATTGTTGGGCTGACGTCTGTCAATTTGCCAGGCATTATGCATGGCTGAATCTAAGCAGAAGGCAAATAGGGCCCACCACCATTTCTTCGATCTGATACTTATACGGTAATTGTTTATATTTTGGTCCATACGATCTACACCTCCCATATTCTTATTGTATTGTCCAATGACGTTAGGTTGGGGCAGTGGTATTTTTTTTTCTCCGCAGACACCCATCTATTCACCTGACCTATAGGATTCACTGGATCACATGAACTAACAGTTAACACAGGGCGGTTATCGTTCCATGAAGTGACCGTAATTCCAGTCGTGGGCCGACTTTGGGCGAAACAAATTCTGGAAAGTGAACATCCAAATCGCATTTTTCCCAGTCACGTACAATATGTTTATGTCTTACACCTGCAAACTGTGCCAATGGAATCTCGTCCTCACTATCCCAATCATCAACTTGATCTGAAATCTGCCCATCCCCACCTAGATCAGTAGTTGTGCCATCTCTCCCATGAATCATTGCAATTGCTTCAGCTGCCAATTGCCGTCCACTCAAATGGTTTATATTTGTTGTCGGAGCTTCATCGTCATCTGAATCCTCTTCGGAATCGAGACCATCATTTGGAGGGGTTATAAAAACATCTGGCCCAAAAAAATCTTCATTTTCAACGAGATCTATAAGTTCTTCTGTGGTATAATATCTAAAACAGAAATTCATTTTGTTCCCAGTGATCCAATATTGGAACAGGCAGAAAAAAGTGACATTAGCAAAGAAAAATGAAGATTTTTGTGATATATATCACACAATATAACAAAAACTAGATGACTTCTATACATGAACATGATTCCCTTTCAAAAAAGCAATTAGGCAGTGGACAAATACTCACTTTCTGTTAGCCATTTTCGTATCAGTATCTCCCAGTATATTCAGGAAAGCACAACAAATCTTCAATAATATTCCAAAACGATACAACTTCCTCTTCACAAGTAAACATCGATAGTGAACAGATTAGGTCATCTGATGCACTAATCCGTTGTGTTTTTATGACGTGGAGGGGGAAAATAGTCTATGTCAAATATCGGAACACTGGGAATGTGTCAGATGTGTCCAATTTCGGAACACCGGGTAAAAACGGGTTAATATAAAATATAGGGAACTGTAATATAAGAACATCATTTCACGCTGATTTTGTATCAGGGGGCGTAGCTCAGATGGTAGAGCGCTCGCTTAGCATGCGAGAGGTACCGGGATCGATGCCCGGCGCCTCCATCTTTTTTTTAATTATTTTTTTTTCAATCATTTTCTTCAAATTAATATGATATTTACCGAAGGTTTTTTCATTTTTTGTGCGATTCGGCTGCCGTGGCTAATAAGATATATTTAATCTCGTTATCGACAGAGTGAGCTGAAATAGTTGAAACAATTTCAGTGTTATGAATTTCTTCTGATGCCAGTAAATTGTTCGTCTGAATTACATCTTGATGCAGAAGTGTATTGTGCTGTTCCTTGCATATTTTACATCTACCAGCGCTTCTACAGTATATTTAAATTCATCATCATCATCATCGTCATATTTATTATTCCCAAGAAACAATTGACGTATATGTTTATAACAGGGAACATTGAAAAATGAACCATAATGTATTACATTGCAAAATATACCATTCATAGTGTTCTCTAGATAATCCTAGAGATAAAATTGATACTAATGGCGAGTCAGGTATTCATGATACAAATTGTGATGACTGCAACATGAGATATATTGGGCAAACATGTCGAAAAATTGGTACTAGATTTAAAGAACATATTATTAAGATATGATCTGTTTGATGAATCTAGTACAAAGTCACAATAGAGATCGTTTAATGAATCAAAATTAGGACACATTCCCATTTCGAACTTTGAGTTAGATTGACACTATGTATAGTGCTTGCATTTTGGTTGAAACTGCCAGGTTTCTCGGTTGTTATTGAAGATAGAGACTTGTGGTTTTCACGTTCCCGTCCTACTTTTTTTGTGAAACTCAAGATGACCTATCTGATTTTGCATAACTGTTTCTGCCAAATTTCAAAAATTGCGAATTTCGCATTGAAAACCAACTATATAGGTGCAGGTAAAATTTCACGAGGATTCCGAATCTGTACACAATGTTGTCCTGGATCCAACGGATAACAAAGTTAGATATTTTCCCGCCACAATTTGGAAAAATTGCGAATTTTGCATTGAAAACTATCTAGACGCACGTAAAATTTCACGAGGATTCCGAATCTACAGTGTGTCCCACTTCTAATGGGAACACCTATCTTACGTAATCGTTGCGTAGGGATCCTGACATTTGCTGGAGCGAGAGAAATACCAAAAATGCACTCTATTACCTAGTAGGGTCATCTTCAGTGATATACACTGCTCGCCAACAGCCATGGAACCATCCCAATTTCCGGAAAATGATATTAGGAGTCAAAATAGGTTGAAAATAACTTCGGATTCGGAATCACTCGCTTCAGCAAATTTCAGGATTCTTACCCAATGATTACGTGAAATACAGGGGTGTTTCCATTAGAAGTGGGGCACACTGTACATACATATATTTTTTGTCCTGGATCCAACAAGAACCGTAGATTTTTTTCCTGTGGGGCAAAAACATTTACCTAACTACTTTCCTAAGTTTCAACAATTTTGACAACACTACTAAAAAATATTTAAGCCTAGATCTGTTTTAGTGTTTTAGTTAGGTATTCGTAATATTTTGAGTTATTTTTCATGGTTTGGGGGGGAAGCGGTTTTCACGCAACAAGGTAAATATGAAATTTTGTGATATTTGCAATGTTGTCACAATACAAGACCCATTGATGAAAAATATACTGAAACACTAGAAATTAACTATGGGTATCTTTTTAACGGTGAGAGATACGAGGTCGGTTAACTGACACCGAATGTGGAGTTTGTCAACTATAATGTGAAAAAATATTTTGATAAAATCTATTCGTTTTTGTTTTATACGCAAAAAACAGATTTTGATCATTTTCATGTCTCCTCCGTAACTTCTTTATTTACGAAAATATTCAAATAGGAATTTCACATTCTCATGGCAGTTTTTCAAAGTGATTTTGATGAAAATATGAAATGTATACCAACTCTTCTAGAATTTGAGATATCAGCACCAACTTTAGTTTTTCAAATGTAGGTCATAGCTCACTCTATGACTTAGTTACAAATAACTTTTTTCTCTCTTACAGATGATATGTCGGAGTAATAGTTTTGTGTTGATAACAACGGAGTTGTCGTCATTTATACAAGAACAAAAAATTATTTGGAAGCCGCCATCTTGAATTTATAAATTTCAACAAAAAAATCATGATCTCCGACCTTATAAACCCCCACTTACCAATTTTGAATGGAATCGGACCAAATCTTGTCCGCCACCTTGGAGCAGCCATTTTTTTTAATTTAAACAAAAATTCGATAAC